ATCACATAGAAGCAGCTTTTATATTGAACTTGATGATTTAATATTTCTTCTACTAGGAAAAACCTACAGCTTGTTAATAGAAACAGCATGGAACAGATTCTCACAATGGAGTAGATACATTGCGCAGCAAGGAGATCACTGCTCACAATGGAGTATAGCTTCATTATTCAAAGATCTAAGGCTTAGCCTGACAGAGCAGCATATGTTGGTAATCCCAGCAGCCAGTAGGTAGAGCCAGTAGATAATCAGGAGTTCAAAACCAACGTCCATTACACAGAAGATCACAGCCAGCCTGGATTTTATGAGATCTGTCTCAAAAAGTGTAACAATATAAGACAAAAGTAAAACCCAACTAGGAAGGTATGTATGTAGGTCTACAATTATATATGTATATACATTATAGATATTTTTCTGTCTTAGTCATAAACTTCAGGACAATTAATCTTTCCTTTTCTTGTTTGGCTCGGTTTCTTCACATGAGCAAAAGAGATAATAGTCCTCAATGAGTAGGTGTGAGACTTGTGGACTTCCCATGAACTGTTGGAAAAGTGCAAGATTAACATTATTCTTCTCTTTCCTGCTGGGGAAAGGTCATAGGAGTCAATGGGAATCATATTTCCCAGTGAAGCACAAACATCTGATGGTTTATAGATGTCTCAGGAGAATGCTCAAGAATGTATTACTGAAACTTGGAAAAGAGAGGAGAGGGGAGGGGAAGAAAGAGAAGAAGAAGAAGAGGAGAGGAGAGGAGAGAGAGAGAGAAGAGAGAGAGAGAGAGAGAGAGAGAGAGAGAGAGAGAGAGGAGAGATTACACTGAGGAGCGTGTCATAACAAAGCTCCTTTGAGTTGCTGCTGGGAGTGGCTGGGTGTGTCTAGTCATCCCTCAGCCAGAATGCTGCGTAATCCAGTCATAATGTTTGTAATGTTTAAACCCAAAGGCAAGAAAAACCACCAATAAAACAGTCACCTAGGTTATTAAATATTTGGTCCACAGACTACTTCTGTCGAACTAAAGGAAATTGTCATTTGATAAAAGTGCATTATGAAGTGCATTATAATTCATTCTTCAAGCTGTAGTTCTTCCCTTCACCCCAAAGCCCACACACTGTTTTGATGTGCATGGTCTATAAAATGGATTTTGTGTTTTACAACAAAGAGACCATAATGAGTTGTTTGGGGTGTTATAGAGCAAAGAAATTTTTCTACAAATTATATCCTTTCCCACCAAACTTTCCTTAAAGAAATGGAACATGGTTAGAGGAATAAGATGAAGTGGCCTTAAGAATATATAAAGAGGACTGACAAAGGTTGCTGTGTTTAAGGGAATACCTGATTTCAAAGTTATTGGTTGGCTTCCTCATTGTTTGAATTAGTTGCATCTATGCAAAATTCCCTCCCACAAAGAGGTCATTTCCCATTCATTCATCTCACATCTACTATGCCAGAGACCATTCATAGTTTTGGGAACAGTGAACCCTGCTTAGGTTTTAGTTGCAGGGGCAAATGACACTACACTTACTTTATCATATAGTGTAGTGTTATGCAGTATGGTATATGGAAATCATATAGTATAGTGTTGTGTAGTATGGCATGGTATATGGAAATCATATAGTATAGTGTTGTGTTCTATGGTAGGATATATGGAAAACTGTCAAAGTCGATTTTTGTTTTATTTGTTGTGTTTCCTACAGGTTCAAATTTTATTAAGAGCAAAGAATACAGCTGACCTGAACATTGGGGAGCTCTTGGTCCCCAGAATGATAGCTGGGATACCAGCATGGGACTGATCCAGACCCCAGGAACATGGGTTTCAGTGAGAAACCCTCGGAAATCTATGGAACCTCCTGTAGTAGTTCAGTACTTATCCCTAGCATAGGTGTAGACTTTGGGAGCCCATTCCACATAGAGGGATACTCCCTGAGCCAAGACACATGGAGGTGGGCCTAGGCCCCATCCCAAAAGACACAATAGACTCTGATGACACCCTATGGAAGGCCTCACCCTCCAGGGGGAGCAGAAAGGATATGTGATAAGTAGGGTTTTAGTTGGGGGGGGTTGTACGGGAGGACAGGGGGGAGAGGGAACTGGGATTGACATGTAAAACAATCTTGTTTCTAATTTAAATAAAAAAAGAAAAACATATAGGACATGTTTTAACAGTCCAATACCCCTAACTGCCCATGCTAACACACCTGACAACATTGTCATTTCCAGAATTTCCCTCCAGGCTGTGTATTTTCACACTACAATAATGATCATAGCTGTCAGACTTGGCATTGGAAGCCAAGCTACAGTATCCTTGAGACCCATATATAGATCATCTTGGTGTCTCGATGTTCCGGGATTTGATCAGATCTGACACACTCAACAGAGGCTTAGTTTTGATTTACTGTATTTTATTTATTTATTTTTCTCTTATATAATACATCCTGACCACAGTTTCCCACCACTCCTCCCAGTCCCCCACCCCCCAACATCCCCTCTTCCCCAGATCCGCTGCTCCTCTGTTTCCTTTCAGAAAAGAGCAGGTGTCCAAAGGATATCAACCAAACTCAACATAATAAGATGCAATAAGACTATATATCAAGGCTGGATGAGGCAATCCAGCAGAGGAAATAAGGTCTCATGAAGAGGCAAAAGATTAGAGGTACCCCCACTCCCACAGTTATGAGTCCCACAAAAACCCCAAGCTAAAGAATCACAGCATGTACGCAGAGGACCTGGTGCAGACCCATGCAGTCTCACAACCCAAAACAGAGGTGTATTTAATCAACCAAACACTCCTATCAAGAGGGCCCAGTTGGAAGACAGGGGACAGAGTAGGAACTGACATGCCAACAGCAGAAATTCTCTCCAGACGTTCTTTCCTACAGTTAATCTGTTGTGTTTTTCTACAGACTAGTTTGGAAATGTGTGAGTTTAGACATATGAGATACTGTAGAATTCCATTCTTTACCACCTCTCTCTTTTCTTGTGTCTTTTAATGTGGAATATAATAATATTTAAATTTATGGCCACTACAGAGAAAAATATTTCAGGGAAATTTCTTTCTGAATCAAATAGAATCAAAATTTTAATTTCCCTACCAATAAAGGGAATCACTTTTTCCTCAGTCAGTAATTGTGCTTGTCAGAATATTACTCTGAACATTGGCTTCAAATAGAAGGCACAAGCACTTGGGTACATTGTCCAGAGACACTTGGACAAGTGAGTGCTCTTGTCATGGAAAGCTCTATTTAACCATTTGCTGCCGTACCTGTCTGATATGTCTTCTGCAGTTCTAACTATTCATGTCTCATCAGAGGCCTGCCTGGTCCTGTGATGTCCAAGGACCCTGCTTCGATGCCCCTCCAACACTCTAAGTTAGGCTAAGAGAGTTGTACTCATCTGTGAACTACATTTATGCATGTAGTCCCATGCCAATCTTATTGTGTCTGTTAGTATGCACCATCAGGTCCTTTAATTCATTCATGTCTTCTCTTCCTATGTGTTATTTGTAAGCCCTTCAGGGAGAGGGAACACAATACATCCCTAAGAACATGGCACCTCTAACTTTCAAGCCATCAGACCCATACTGTACTTGGATTCCTCGGGAGTTGCTCAACTTCCATCTCTGGAAATGATTCTTTCCAGTATGGGCAAAGAGTTAACAAGCATGTAGCAGAGGGAATTAAAACATGAAAAGGGAGAGTCAACCAAGCACTAAGATTTAAGAAGATTTCTTGAGACCTTTGGATCACAGTAACAAGCAGGGAGCAGTCCAGTGCTGAACAAATAGTCGTGGTGAATTAGATGTTAATACCCTGTTCCAGCCTCTTGGTCACTGTGGTTATTCTCTGAATTTTTCTGAGGAGCAGTCAAAGTGGTAATAACAGTCTCCATATGTATGTGCATGTATATTTCACTTTACAACTGAAGAATCTGGGGCTAAAGAGAAGAAACATTTTGTTTAGGATTTCCCCCAAAGTCAGTGGTAGGCATAGTTAGGCAGACTTGAGGACTCTGCCTTCAAGCCTACATTTTCCCCTCTACAGCTAGATACCCTGATATTTTATTAGGTGCATTGCCCATATCCTCTCCTTATGATCTTGTTTTCCATGCTCCACTGATGCCTGGAATGGTCTTTTCACTGTTGAACTCATTTTCGTTTATGAGTTTGATTCTGGCTAAGAACAGGACTCAGGACAAGGGGAGGAGAAGCCATCAAGTCAGTTTTGTTCAGTCAGTCAACAATCTCTCATTGACTGCTGGTGGTAATTCCTGGGATGCTAAGGAGTGATGTTAAGAAATGAGCGAGGCTGGCCCTTATCTTTCAAATCCTAGTAGTCGGTATGGCGGATGCTGAAGGTTATGATGCTGGCCCTTATCTTTCAAATCCTAGTAGTCGGTATGGCGGATGCTGAAGGGTAGGAAAAAAAAGGTTATGATGAAACAAACTAGCATATAACAACAGGAGTATAGGCTATGGCTCCTGAAAAGCAGCTGCCTCACTCTTGGGTACTTCTCGGGAAGCAGTGTAGGAAAAGAACAGATCCCAAGGGTCAAGGAGCTCCAGGAGATCTGGGATTCTCAAATCAGGCTTCCCCTTACCGTTTCAGAGCAAAGCTGTGTCCTCTGTTGGGACGTGCTCCCTCTGCAATTCTCTCACTTTATTTCTCCTAAACAATTTTGATAGTGCATGTTTTGCCTGTAATGTTGTGCATGTTATCAGAACGCAATGGCACTCTGCACTGAAAAGATGGAGGTCAGAGTTTCCTCCCGTTCACCTTCTGTGGCTGGCTTTGCAGGTAGGGTTGCCTTTATTTTACTCTAACACGCATGTGCTTAGCTCAGGGCAGGATCTGCCGACAGACTCTTCCTGCCCGTGCTTGTCACAGGCCATCCGAAGCTGTGCAGACGGCAGTAGCAAGTTCGGCCTGAATCACATCTTCCAATTTTGCCCAGGCTGCCAAGAGTTATGAGTAAGAGAGCAGCTGTGGGCGGGGCCAGGGTGGGAGGCGCGGGCGTGGCCACAGGTGAGCCAGCTCCCTAGGCCTGGAGCACAGCTTTCACTGCCCCTGAGCGTCTGCCTGCCTTTCTCTTTGCAGAGCTTTTCCCAGAATACCAGCAGCTCAAGGTAAGCAAAGTGGGGTCACAGGGCTGGTGAGTTCCCTCTTGACAACAAGTCATGGAATAGTTAGGGGACTGACTCCACATGATGAAGAAAGTGGATGGGATTTATCAAGGGTAGCCCGGCTTCAGTGTGATGGGCCACAGTCCCAGCTCCTAAGGCCTTTGTGAGGCCAGAGTGGCTCCGGGAAAACTATCACCATGCCACGGAGCCAACTACACTCAGAATATGAAGAAGGCAAAGGACACAGGACTCGAGGTTTGGGTGATGGTGATGTGGAGAGAGCTGTGATTTCGGGAACACTGAGATTGTTTTCTGTCCTACCATAGAATGCAGGACGGATTTGCGACTGATCTGAAAGGGTGTGGTGCTTACAGCCTTGGTGCTTGCCAGCCAGGGCTGACCTTCCTGGTGGGGATTGTGGGGTTGACATGTAGACTGCTCTTTTTGTCATTTTACACATTAGATCAGAGTTTCTTGTCTGATGCCTGTGTTTTAGACAGAAATCATGTATTTTAACACAAATTCCTAACCTTCTGAGATGTGCTGACTTATTGTCCCTTCCGAATGAGTATTATTATGTAATAATAATAATAATAATAACAACAGCATAAAACTGTTATGTCTTCACTGAAACATTTCATATTGAAGCTCCATTTAATACAAAGGTTGTTTCATTTGCCTAAACTGGATCTCAGAACTGGGAGACCTTGATCAATTTTTGCTCAACCACTCAGGTTGGAGAAAGGCTCAATGGTAATGTGGTATCTAAAGTCACAGGGATTGAAGGTAGGGTGGCTTAAATGGAAGAAGGCTTTAGACTGACAGCCAGGCATGTCTTCATGACACAATTTCTACTAATTTTCTTTATCTCTTCCATCTTAAGAGGATCTTTAACAAAATCGTGTTACAGACATCAGCCACCTTCAAGTAAGTCAAGTGCTGATAAGTTCCTGGATGGGCGGGGAGAAGGAAATTCAACAGAATGGGACTCTAGAAAGTGAGTCAGCATCTTTGTACTGTGCTTCCTAACGCTCCACGGGTGCCACTTCAGTCCCTCCGGGTTTGGGGATGACTTTGGAGCATGCAATCTCAGCAGTTTGGGCTACCCAGGTGTGGCCCGTCTGGCATAGTTTGGAAGCAATGTCATAGGGTCAGCAGTTATGCTCAGGATTCAAGGAGCCAGGTGAAGCCGTGCTGGGTGAGACTCTATGAGCAAGGTGGGCTCCTCCAAGTTGGAAGTGACAGATTGGCCTCATTATTAATGCCTGCATTGTGCTTTCCTGACAGATCCATTTACCCAGTCACTTCATTTACTTCTCATAGTATTGTCACAGAAGGAAGCTGGAGATTTTCATGTTTTTATACTTTGGAGACTGAGGCAGGAGAATAGCCAAGCTAAAGGCCCACGTGGGTGAGAGACGGACTTTAAGGCTAGCCTGGGCAATAAAGGAAAAACTCATTTTAAAACAAAAGGTTAAAAAAGTAGACTGGGGTCATAGCTCAGTGGTAGAGCATTTGCCTAATAAGCATAAGGCTCTAGGTTCAATCTTCATTTCAACAATGAATAAATAAATAAATAAATAAACCAACAAATACCTAAGAGAGATTTTTCATCATGTCCAGTCTATAAAATGAGGTAAATTAGGCTATAGGATAGTCATAGTACTCTGGTGCTGAAAATTTAATTTTTTGTTTCTTGAGACACGATCTCTCGGTGTAGCCCCCTAAGATACCCTAGCACATCTATGTAGGGCAGGCTGGCTCTCATGGCAATCTTCCTGGCTCAGCCTTCTTGGTATTAATATTGCAGTATGAACTATCAGGCCTGGCAAACGTTTAGGTTTTAAGAAATGAAGAAAAACCATGCACATAGTCCTGTGCATGTGAGTGTGTGTGTGTGTGTGTGTGTGTGTGTGAGTGTGTATATGTGAGAGTATGTATGAGTGTGTGTGTGTGTGACAGTGTGTGAGTGTGGGTGTGGATGTGAGTGTGTGTGCATGAATATGTGTGAGTGTGTGTGTGCATGTGTGAAAATGTGTGTGAGTTTGTGTGTGTGAGTGTGTAGGTGTGTGTTTGCTTATGTGTGAGAGTGTGTGTGTGTGTGTGTGTGTGTGTGTGTGTGTGCGCGTGTGTGTTAGTGTGTGTGACTGCGTAGGCATGTGTGAGTATGTGTGTGTGTGTGGATGTGAATGTATGTGTATGAATATGTGTGAGTGTGTATATGTGTGTGAGTTTGTGAAGGTGTGTGTTTGAGTATGTGTGAGAGTGTGTGTGAGTGTGTGTATGGTGTGTGAGTGTATATGAGTATGTGTGAGAGTGTGTGAGTGTGTATGAGTGTGTGTGATAGTGTGGGTATGTGTGTGATTATGTGGGTGTGTGTATGAGTGTGTGTGTGAGTTCACATGTCTATGTATCAAATGAGTGTGGCAGAAACACTGTAGATAGGATGGATCTATATCATTTAACTGTGAGCATACAGGACAACAGACATAAACAGGCAAAGAGGGGTGTATAATCACCTTCCCCAGGGAACTTTGAGAACACTTGAGGACCAATGGCTTGGATGCTTTACACACTTTGGAAATCTTTACATAAGGGGCATCACTACTCCAGAGAAGTGAGCTCTCCTCCCTCATCCCAGTGCATGCGGCTCCATTCATTTATTTTATTTTAATTCATTTCCTCCCCTTCCTCCCTCCAGCCCCTCCCAGTAACCTTCCCTTAAATCCCTGAACTTCCCCACTGAGTTGACAGCCTCTATTTCTTTGATTGTATTTGTTACACAAACACACTACATAGATTTGTGTGTATGTGTGTATTTGTGTGCATATGTTTGTGTGTGTATTTGTGTGTGTGTGTTGTGTGTGCATATTTGTGTGTGTATATGTGTGTATTTGTGTGCATATGTTTATGTGTGTATTTGTGTGTGTATGTTTATGTGTGTGTATATATGCATTTAATGTATTTATTAGTAGAACCTGCTGAATCTGGTTTTGTTGTTTTGTGTGTATGGTTTCAGTGCTGACCACTCTGCATTGGACAGCCAATAAGAGGCTCACCCCTGGGAGGGACTAATTCTCCTTCTCCCAGCAATCAGTAGGTTGCCTACAGTTCTTTGTCTAGGTGTTGGACCCCTCAAACTTTTCCCCTTTCCATGTTAATGTGTCCATTGATATTGTCATTGTTCTTGTCCTATTTATGCAGCCATTTCTAAGAAAGACTGTTTCACAACAGACTTCCTGGTACTTTGGATCTTATAATCTTTCCATCTCTACTTCCAAACGTTCCCTGAGTCATGGATGCAGAAACTGTAGTGTAGATGTCGGTTGGGGCTGGGATCCCCATGACCTGTTGATCTCCACATTGTGTCCGGTTGTGGTTTCCAGTGGTATGGTTTCCATTTGCTGTAAGAGAAGGTTTTTTGATGAGGGAAATAATGAGGAGGAGGCTCCAGTTGGGAGGGAGAGAGGGTGGTTAATATAGAAGAAAGAGGGACAAATAAGCAAGGTTATTTGATAGGCCTCAAGGAATTATATTATTTTATATTTACTTAAAGTTATATATGATGCATATAAGTGTACATACATATTTACATATCTATCTATCTATCTATCTATCTATCTATCTATCTATCTATCATCTACCTATCTTAAAGGAAGTTAAACCACTTGGACTGACAATGCTACCAAAAGAACTAACAATAAACAATAAACTAACAAAAAAGGACAAAACATCTTTCTCCAGACACAAGAAACCTTGCAAAGGGTTGGTCAGTATAGTCCAAGCAACTCCCAGAACAATATAGAAAATTGGTTTAGACCTTTTTTCCTAGGACGGCTGAGGATGGACCCTTATTGCTGAAGGCACTACACACTTAAGACACATGACTCAAAACTGGAGCTGGATCTGACCAGAAAGCTCTTTCCTGTGGTCTGGCTTCTAAGGCTCCAGAAAATACCATGAGAGTTGCCAAGGGAGTGAAGCTGTTAAACAGTCCTACCCAGTTGTAATACCAATGAACCATGACAAACACAGCATCACAAGGTGTGCAAAAGGTGCAGTCAGTGGCACTCATGTGTCAGTCACAACCAGCAGCTGTCTAATTGGACCTAAGGCCCACTCAGCAGGAGGGAAGTCATCCCTGGTCCTGGAAACCTAGCCAGCTTCCAGGGCTAGGGAGCTCATGGACCTTAGAAAATAATCTACTGTCTCATGTTGTTAGACTAGCATAATTCCTTATGACACTCTAAACCTTATCCTCACACCCATCCATAAGTGTGGTTCCCGTTCATCTGTTTCATTTCTCTGTCCTCCACTTTTGCCTGAGTAAGTCCTTCTTACCCTTTTAGTATGACTCACTTAGATGTTGGTGCTTCTCAGGAGGAGTCACTGAGATTTCCACTAGGGTGAGGTGTTCCTGAGAGTTCCCATGGTAAGCAGTACATTTTATCGTCACACTTATGCCACTAACTGACAGCTAGGTGGAGGCAGAACCTACGATGTGTGTGCCTTGGGATGCTCTTTTCCTCAATTGTTTTATTTATTTTTATTTTATGTATATGGTGTTTTGTCTGTGTGACACATGAATGCAGTGCCCACAGAGGGCATTAAATGCCCTGGAACTGGAGTTACAGATGGTTATGAGCCACCAAGTGGGTGCTGGGAGTCAAACCCTGTTTTTCTGGAAGAGCAGCCAGGCTCTTATAACCACTGAGCCATCTCTCTGTCCCCTGACCTTGGGATTCTTAATGCCTACTTCTCCCTGGCTTGAGTTAGGTGCTCACACTTTATAGAATGAAAGAATCAAAACATTGACAGCTTGGAACTTCAGAGGCAGAGGGAACCAGAACTCCTTCAAGGAGGAAAATCTTAGGGGAAAAGTTCTGTGTCATTAAAAGCACCCAACTGAACAAACAACCACAAAACCCAAACAAAAGCAATACCCCTCCTACACACCGAGGAAACCTGGGGATCATTGCAGGGCATCAGTAGGATACAAGGTTTTTGGAACTTGAGAAACTTCAGAAAAAAAAGAACAAATACCAGCAAAAACCCAATTATGTAGAAAGAAAGTGAAGAGGTGTGGTGGGGAAGGGCTGGGCTGGGCGCCAGAAGAAATGAATTCTAGGTTTGGCCTTGCTACTCTCACTCCCTGCGTGGGTGGCCTGGGAGAATCACTCCATCTTCACTCACTTGCAAAATGAAGAGGTGGGGCCAGGCTAGATCCTGCTGCAAGATTTTGTCCCACGTTGAAGTTTTATGGTTATCCAATCTTCAGCAGAGAACTGCAAGAACAAGTTTCTTGACTTTTAATCCTCATTTTTTCTTTATAATTGAAAAAAATAATTAAATAACATCATTTTCCCTCTCCCTTTCCTCTATTCAACCCTTCTTATCCCCCTCCTATTTCCTCTCAAAGTTTTGCTTTCTTTTTCTGTGATTATAATTGTCACATATTTTTATAAACACATAATGATAACCCACTGAATCCTCTCAGTGTTGCTCGTATGCTTATGATTTTAGTGCTGACCATCTTGGTGTTGAGCAACCTGTTAGGTAGAGGGTTCATCCCCTAGTCAAAGAGCTCTAAGTCCTTGAGAGCTCATTTGCATTACTTTTTGAGGAGTCACCCAGTTTTCCTCCTGTCAAGATGAAAGTTACTCCTATGTGGGTTTGAAAGGTGTGGTTACTTTCTGTGTTAGGGTAAAATAGACTAATATCTTTTTGTACTTTGGTTGTGAGCCTAGCCTTTAACGGCCAAGCTATCTCTCTACCCTGAATAGTATCTTTAAGAAAAATTCTTGGATCATCATGAAAATGAAAGAAGATAAACTTGTACAAAGGTGATAATGAAATTGAACTAATTTTAGCATTTCCAGTGCAAATTTTTAGATATGTAAACTTACTGCATGGGCTTACTTATCCTAGATGTAGCACTTACAAGTTTTTTTTTAATAGTTTTAGAATAGAATTTAGAATAGGATTTGCAAAATGACCTATATAGGAACTTCACACTGTTTTTCTGGGTGTTACTGTCCACATGTCTGAGATTTGCTTAAATTCATTGTCTTACAATGTAGGGAGGTGCCAGCTGGCTGTATTCAAAGTCTTCTCTCAAGCTTCCTCAGACAACACCAATGTTATAGTGTTTTTAGGTCACTTGGGACAAATCACAGAACCACTGATGTGATTTTCCATTTGATAATTGGTTGATTTCTTAATTGGTAATGCTTGTCACTCATCTAGTTGTGACAAAATGCGTGAGACAAGCAACTTAAGGAAGGATGTGTTTTGTCTTTCAGTTGCAGAAGATACATCCTGGGAACATCAGCAGGGGTGGGGTGGGGTGGGGAGGCTGGTCACATTGTGAATCTATAGTCAGGAAACAATTTGACAGATGTTTATGCCCAACTCACTTTCCCTGTTTCATTCAGTCTGGGATCCTGGCCCCCTAGAATAGTGACACCTATAGTTAAGGTAGTCAGTCCTCTACCTTAATTAATCTAGACATTACCTCACAGGCATGCTCAGAGATTTGCTTCCATGTGATTTTAAACTGCATTAGTTTAGAGTGAAGATGAACTATCATACCACTACAACACTGTCCATATATGTGTGCAGATCCTACATTTGACACCTTTGGGCTGTATCAGGCAATTGCACTGTAGAGACCTCACACATCAAGGGCTGCTACCTTTCTTCACAGCTAAGGGGAACTTTCTGAACAAGAAACTAGTTGTCAGGCAGACAGGTGTGTTTGGACTTAAAGTGCTGAGGCCACCATGCAGAAGAAGATCCTCTGTGGAAGGGAAGGTCTGGTTGATAGGAACCATGCCGCCTGTCAAGTGTGCATTCATTTACAGTTTCCAACCAAAACCTGGATCCAAACCTCACCTTGCAATACAGCATTAATGTACTTTGCAATTAGCCTTACTAAAAGTTGAGTGAGTCTATGCACAGAGTCATTTAGGCTAAATGTATCTCAGCGTGCTGTAACTAATGAAGGGCAGACTTTCCTTACACTTTGATGTGCTTCCTGGATGAAGTATTGAGAACTTTGCAGGGATCTGAGTTTAGGTTTCTCTGTTTGATGAGGAAACAGTTCATCATTTCAGTCTCATCCACACTCATGTTGAGTTGTGGTTGTGGGTTAAATTGTCAGGGTTTAAATGTGTCCAAACCTACCTGTCTTCATTCCACATATGGCCCTCTAAAGAGAATTCTGAAAGCCAAGAATCTGCTTTTTGATTTTATTCTCTTGTCTTTGCATTTGTAATTTCTGTTTAGGTCTAAGATGATTGTAATCCTGTCCATGTACTTGACTCTAACACACTTGTGGGTCCTGGCTAAGGAAGCTTTTGACCTTGAGTACTAAAACTGTCTCTCTGATCTCTGCATACACATCCTGCTCAAGATATGTAACTGTTTGCTCTCTGTATGTATGTATACCTGTTATCTTTTCTTTTCTTTCTGTGTATCTGTATCTGTATTTTCTTTTCTATTCTTAGAAAGACACTTGTCACATTGGATTAGCCCCCATCTAACTCCAATATGATCCCATTTTAACTAATTAAAATGGAAGATACCTATGTTAAATTCATAGGTATTAAGAATTAGGAATTCAGTGTATCTTTTTTTGAGGGCAAATTTATATACTTAATAAATATTAAATAGAACAACACAAAACTGCTACAATCACTTTTGATATAAAAATAACTACTTTGTATGATTTAAGCAAAATAGTAACTGGAATATGTGATTATAAAACTGAGTTTTAAGCCAGGCAGTGGTGGTGCATGCCTTTAATCTCAGCACTCGGGGGGAGGCAGAGGCAGTCAGATCTCTGTGAGTTCAAGGGAGGCCAGCCTGGTCTACAAATCGAGTTCCAGAATAACCAGGGATGTTATACAGAGAAAACCTGTCTAGAAAAACCAAAAGCAAGCAAGCAAGCAAGCAAACAAACAACCCCCCCCAAACAAACAAAAACCCTCAAAAAACAAAAACAAAAAACAAACAAACACAAATGAACTGAGTTTTGCTAATGGTGTAAGCTGCTGTGATCACTTGCTGAGGAAGCTGTACCATGGCTGGGCACCTGATGCTGGTCATAGTGGCTAAGCAGAATGTGACATGTTGTGGAGAACAGCACACACGGCAGACACCGTGTGCCTCAAGACTTTTGCCCAGAGGTTTCTTCATGTCTGCCAGTCCAAGATCATTGCTTCCTTGAAGGTGAGTTCTTACTGCTGTTGGCAGGATGTAGCTGAGAAAACATTTTGTATTGAAATTAAGTTTGTGCTTCGTTCCAGGCCCATGATGGATGCCCTGAGACTGGCAAATTCAGCTTTTGCTGTTGACTTGTTCAAACAGCTATGTGAGAAGGAGCCAGTGGGAAACATCCTCTTCTCTCCAATATGTCTCTCCACTTCCCTGTCGCTTGCTCAAGTAGGTGCCAAAGGTGACACAGCAAATGAAATTGTTCAGGTAAGCTGCTCATGCCTTGTTTAGACTTTGAATGGGGATGGTTACTGGAATTCTTAGTTTAAGATAACAAATGTGTGGCTGGCATGGCTCTGGACTGAGAGCTATGCCATCCCCAGGCTTTTTTAGTCTACTCTAAATGTGAAGCTCACTTATGGGTAGCATGGTCTATATTTAGAATGGGTACCAGGTTAGGATGGAGAATATGGGGATCTGACAGGTGTTCCATCTTTTCTCCAGTGTCTGTCAGCAGGTCATACGACATCCCTCATTTGACATATTTGAAGATCAATCAATGACTTATTAATACTCTGCTGCACATACTCTTAGTAAATGGGAAAAAGATGTCCCCTGCTCCCTGCCCTACATTCAGAGAAGGAAGCACATACTTTATTTATAAAGAACACACACTTTATTTAGAACATCAAACTTAATATTAAGATCTAAGCTCAATTGCATTCTACCCTAGAGCATTTCCAATCTCAGAAGCAACATTTTAAATGATCTACTTTCAAACTGGAATAGATAAAATAAATAGCATGCACATATGTTTTAGAACCCTGGAGGCTTGATTATCTCTTTCGAGAGGCATGGGCTAAAGCAAAGTTTCCCATACAAGCACATGCACATGCATATGGATATTTCAGAGTTTCTTTTGGGCTGTGCTCGACTAGTTTTGTAAAGTTCCTGGACCTTCAAATGAGCTGATCTCCTTGACTGCTGTTTGGAGACCTCACAAGCTCTTAGACAGTAGGTATACTTCTAATTCCATTCTATTATTTTTCCTTATGCAGATTGATGGAAGGTTAAAAAAAAAACTTTCTTTTCACAATTTCAGTGGTATTTAAAATCACCAGTATCCCTACAGTTAGGACTCATGAATGTTGACTAGGTCAGGATGAGAGTGGGTGAGGCAGAGGAGACTGCTTCAGTCCTGGGGAGAGGGGTTGCATTTTTCCTTGTGAGCTCATTTCCATATGCTGTGCACTCAGCTTCCTCTCTCCTCTTCTCACCTTTTTCCAGAGGCCTGCAAGGACTGGGGTGGGGGCGGGGCATCTATTCCTCAACCACAAGAAAGATATTTCAGTGCATGTGATATATGTTTTTACCAGCACATCTGGCCTTTTAAAAAAAAACATTAATTTTTCTTAATTCTTGAGAATTTTAATATAGGTATACAATGAAACATGATCATATCCATCCCTATTTGCCCTTCCTAACTCCCTTCAAATCCTCCCCCCACCTTAACACAGCCTTTTCCAAGCTTCATGTCTTTTTTGTTCTGATGATCTACTTTGTCCAGTTAGTGCTGCCTGTGTGTGTAGGTGAGAGGCCATCCACTGAGGCATGGGAAATATGCCGGTGGCTACGTATTCTCTCAGTTCTGAGAAGCCCCTTCTGCAGTGGCAGAAGTCAGTGCTGAGATGCATAGTGGGTCACAGTTTTGATGTAAGGGACTGAGTGAGTACTCAGTACAAATGGGACATCTTTCTTGACCTCTCTTCCCCTGGCTCAGGAAATGTGGAAGAGGAGGCAGAAAGAGTGTAAGAGATGGAGGATGTGGAGAAGTGTGTGAAATGCAAACTTCTGGGCTTGACATTGCTAGAGCACCCATGAACTCCCAGCAGCTGTGCTTACCTACACATGAACCTGAATAAGACTGATCCAGACCAAATGCTGGCTTAGATGGGGAGGAGCTACTGATTCATTTTCTGTCTTTCTTTCTTTCTTTCTTTCTTTCTTTCTTTCTTTCTTTCTTTCGTTCTGTCTTTCTTGCTTTCTTTTTCTTCTTTCCTTCCTGTCTTTTTCATTCTCTCTTTACTGCTTCCTTCCTTCCTTTCCCTTTCTACCTCTGTCCCTCCCTCCCTCCCTTCCTCCCACCCACCCTTCTTTCCTTCTTATTTTAGAACATGGGATCTGGGGATCCAGTTCAGGTCAGCACTGTATCTCCTCAACCCCCAAAACAATGTTATGTTTTATTTAATTGTTTTGATAATGGAATATTTTTTTCTAACAGGTTCTTCATTTTGAGAACATCAAAGATGTACCCTTTGGGTTTCAAACAGTCACTTCTGATGTTAATAAGCTCAGTTCCTTTTACTCCTTGAAACTCATCAAGCGACTCTACATAGACAAATCTCTGAACCCTTCTACAGTAAGTTGTTTATAGCAGCCTGGTTGTACTCTGTTCCAGAAGGCCCTTTTCCCCTGTAGGCCATAGCTTGTTCTAGGGCAGTTCCTCTCACAGTGTCAGCTATGGTTTGAGGCTTTTGAAAGGAAAGCAGCCCCACTGCAAATGCTGGATGCTGGGGGAATGAAGCAGGGTCACATCCAGCTAGGAATACAGAAAAGCTTGTCCCTTTCCTCTACAAACTTTAACAAACCCTCTGTTCCTTTGGAGAGAAAGGATAACAGAAGGGCCAACTATCTAGTGCATGAATCTCCATAAGGGGCTCAAAGTGATTTGCAATAAACTCCTTAAACAGTGGGGTACATGGCCTGAGGTTGTCTTAAACTTCCCAACTCATTTTTTTTTTTTTTTTAGTGGTCCGATATCTTTTAGAATCAGTAAGAAAATAACCACCACAAATGACCAGTTTTCATTAGAAGTGAGCTGGTGTTGTTTTCCTAGGCTAGTTGGAAGGACATTGTACAAAGCTGCTGTAGTCATTTAAACCAAGACTTTTTTTGAAGCAGTCATGTGAAGAACACTGTGGTCCCCTTCTATTAGACCCCAGAGTGTAGCATAATATTTCTAAGATCTTTATTTTGACACACAACCGACATTCTTGATTGCAGGCCATTCCCTTATCTGTTAATGTAGAACAGCCCAACTCAGCTCCTGTTTCTGTGGTCACAATTTCAAGCTTCTAGATTGCTAAGCCAAATGTCCCCCCAAGGCATGACAGTGTTCTGCATTCCATATTTGTTTGTGTGAGAGATCTTTGACAACTAAGTTATTAGCTGTTGTTGTGAGTTTACCCTTGTGGTTTGAAGACACATATGCACAACTAATTTGGTTCCAGCTGTCACCTGGGAAATGAAAGAAAATTGAGATGAGAGTTTCAGCTGGGCATGAAAACCTGTTAAAAGCTCCCCAAGTGATGCTTAAAGATGTGTCATTGGCGGTGACAGTGGAGGCTCTTCACTTGCAGTCTTTCTGATAGTCTTAGGTACTGACTTAGGCTGGCTGCCTCCATCAGTCCGTGGTTGGCTTTCAGTTAACTGGAGCTAAGTTAGTTGGCTTAGAGTATTGCTATGATGAAGAAATTCAGGGGCAGAGTGACATGGCATCCAAGCCATGTTAGCTTGGTTGGACTTCCATTCCACAGTTAGAATTACTTCTATGAAACTTTCCCTTTTTTTTTTCTCTCATGCCTTCCTTTCCTCTTTCCTCATTCCTCTCCCCCACCCTTCCCTTCCTTTCTTCCATTTCTTCTTTCCCTTCTCTCCCTCCCTCCCTTTCCTTTCCCTTCCTTCCTTTTCCTTCTCTTTTCTTCCCTTCTCTTCCCCCTTCCCCTTCTCTTCCTCTTTCTGTGTTTTTCATTGCTTCTCCTACTATGTAGTACCTGCAAATTTACTAGTTAATAGTACAAACAAATGTGCTCTGAGGAGCATCACCTGAATTTAAACCACTCAAGCTCTTGTTGAAAGCCTAAGCTCATAGCCTCACATCTCTTGTATCAAGATCAGTGTGGGTAGGATTTGCATTTTAAACACGAATTAGAGTTAGACACACTGCTGTTTCTTTACAGCCCTATGTTTCACACTCCAATGTGCAGACAAAACTCCTGGAAATCTTGCTACAATGCACAGTTTAAGTCAGTATATCTAGGGGCCTGGGAGTTAATTCTAACATGATCTTAGGTGATGCTTTAACTCCTGATCTTTGGACCATATTTTGGGCGTCAGGATGCTAAAGAATATTCATTTATTTTAGCGAAGATAAGAGATTTCTGCTCATTGATTTCATTTCTGTTTCTTTATTTTTTGATACATGTGTTCATCATTTGTTCTTGTTGCTGTGATAACATACCTTCTAGAAACAACTTAATGGAAGAAAGTCTTATTTTGGCTCTAAGTTTCAGAAGTCTGTGGCTGCCTGTTCTCATTCACTTGGGCAGATAGCATGTCAGTAGGAGCATATAGTGGAAGACAGATGTTCACATTAGGAAGGATCAGGAAGTACAGGGCAATGGGAAGTGGCAGTGATGTATTTATTAACTCCAAGGACCCCAGTGACCGTTGTTCTCCAGTTAGGCCCTATTTCCCAAAGTTTATAGAAAAATCTCAAAATAGTGCCACAAACTGAGGACTAAGTATTCAAACTGTAAGTGTTTTAGTTTAAAACCACAACTATATATTTATATCATGTATGTAATAATATAAATAAATATTTTTGAAATAATTAAGATTTACACTATATTTATATGTATTTGGTATAGTGTTTCTTTTGTTTTTGACAAAGCAGATAAACAATTCATAATTTAATTATTCATATGTCTTACAATAAAATAAATAAAACATCTAATCAAAGAAAATACTTATTTCTACATGAAGCTTTATATAGTGTCACCAATTTTTCAAAATGTATGCATAGTAATAACCATGTAATGAATTCATTTCTTAGTACTACATTAGCTCCATCTACAGATGCTGAGAGCTTTGTGATTTTTGTGAATTGGATGTTTTTCAGGAATTTATCAGTTCTACAAAAAGACCATATGCAAAAGAATTGGAAACTGTCGACTTCAAAGATAAACTGGAAGAAACGAGGGGTCAAATTAACAGCTCTGTTAAGGAGCTCACAGATGGTAAGTACCCTTTGGTGTTCTGTAAAGAGTCCTCCCTGCTCAAGAATCCTTGCTCCAAGCCTAAACACATTGAACATCTGGAAGATTCCTTGAGTAATTTTAGTACACAAGCTAAATTCTTTGCCCATCAAGCCATGTCAACAACTTAAGTTTCTGGGCATTTCTTGTATCAACTCATTACTTGGCAAATGTGTGCTTTGTTTTAGCATGCTCTGCCTTGCTCTCTGACAAGCTGCCACATGCCCTGGTAGGGGTCCAGCTGTTCCTTTTATACTGTGGCTTTGGCAAATCATGAAGCCATGTTTTAAGTCTGGAAATGGGAAGATGATCCTTGAATCTACTTCCAACTAAAAAAATTTTACAGCTTTATCAAAAATGAAAAAAAGTCTTAGGCAAATGTAAATCTAGAACAAAGTCAAACCTAGCAATCATAGTGGATGTTTGTCCCCAGTTTCACAACCTCTGTTTCCTTCTCAGCCTCCCCTTCACCCTTACTTCACCTCCCCCATTAAAAGTCCCTGTGAGTTGTCTTCCTTGCTGAGAAAGAATTGGAACCAAGATGGTTTGGATTGCAATCAGTGACTAGCTCTCCTTTCCTAGAGATGTGTTTATAGTGTGATACAAGGGGAGCCTGCTGGGAAATAGAAAGTAATTATGAAGGACTGGCAGTCACTGCTGGCTGTGGAGAGGGATATGCTGCTGGGGTGAGGAGATACTCTTCTCTTGAGAATACACAGCAGGGCATCCCATTTGAATACTTCTTCATGAATGATGTCCACCTCTAACATCATGGAAAGAACAGGAACTTGGGAGTCACTTAGGGCCTAGATTCTACTCCATATACCACATGTGGATCATCAACATATTTAGTTATGGAGCTTCAAATTTCTGAATGGTCAAATGTGCCATGTGTTACTTAATTACATTTATACATGGTTGTTGTGGGAACTCCAAGTACATGGTTGTCTATACAATACATGGTAGTCATGAACATATATGCATGTATATAGGTATATATAGTGTATATGTATATGTATATCTATCTATCTATCTATCTCTATATATGTTGCTAAAATAAAATTTCTTTGGCATTGCCGAGAAAGAAAAAGCTGATATAGACAGCACCAGGTTTAGTTAGATTTTGAACATTATTAGTAAAAAGAAGTTTCTGCTTAACATTGCTTTATAGTTTTGTTTATAAACTTTGTAAGTTTTCTCTCAAAGAGCTTTTTATCTTGGCATCTCAATAAGTTTAAGGTTTCTGACTTGAGGGGGTGGGGCTTAAGGAGAATGCTTCTGAATTTGTAGACAGAAGCAAGGTTTCAGCCTAAGCTCTGCCACTATTGGCACCCAGACTTTTTAGCTCTTCAGGTTTCTCTAACAAAGTCATCACAAATCTGACATAGGCAGCATTGTCAGGGCTGGACTATAGTTTGTAGAGCCTAGTGCAAGAACCAAAAGGCAGGCTCTATCTTAAAGATTCATTTAGTTATCCTCTTAAGGCATCGATGGCAGAACACTGACCCTGAACACGGGGCATTACATGAAAATTGGAGATTGGGTAAATAATAGCTCTTTGCAAAAATGCCAAGTGCTGTTCAAACTAGAGGAGTGTTTTTATTAAGTGGGTTTTGTGATCATACTTGTGGATGTTACAGTTGACCTTGAGTCCATCAGCTGTCTACTCTACAGGAGTGAGTTGGGGAAAGGAGTATAGAATTGTAGTTCAAAGATCTACTTCTCATCTGAGCACAGTAGGGCAGCCATTGACCCCTCTGTACCTCAGTTTCCTCAACTGTAAATGGAAAACAGTGAGGAGTATGTGTGGAAATGCTGAGCACAGCCAGGTGTGAAGCTTATGTCTACTCAATTTACTCAGGAGTGCAGGCTGAGTGTCAGAAAGGGCTTGCTTCCAATCCTAGATCTCTCTGAGATGTTTGGTCTGGTGGGTTCAGGAGGACAGAAAAAAATACCCTAGATTGGACAACCTTGGCTCCCAGTCCTTCCAGGTGTGATGCTAATGCCCAGTAAGTGAAGAAGCCTGCAGCAGCAGGGAATTTCAATGAATGACCTCAATGTCTGGTTTTCTATAATCATTTGCAGGCCACTTTGAGAACATTTTATCAGAGAACAGTATAAGTGACCAGACCAAAGTCCTTGTGGTTAATGCTGCCTACTTTGTTGGAAAGTGGATGAAGAAATTTCCTGAATCAGAAACAAAAGAGTGTCCATTCAGAGTCAATAAGGTATGTGCAGTAGGAAGTAGGAAGTAGGTTTCAAAATTATGGTAGCAGAGCAGGGCACATGGATGCTTGTCAGCATAGACAAAGACTTCCAGCAATCAAAGGAAGGAAAAGGAAAGGAAGGAGGCAGAGAAACCACACTGGAGGCCTTTGAATTATCAGGAATGTTAGACCAGTTAGGAATTGTCTTCCGGACTCAGTCACTTCACTTTATTTTATTCTATTTTATTTTACACACTAAGCCCAGTTCTTCCTCCCTCCCTCCTCCCAGTCCCCCCTGCTTCTCCTCCTCCCACTCCACATTTACTCCTCAGAGAGGGTAAGGCCTCCCATGGGAAGTAAACAAAGTTGAGGCAGGACCTCAGGGTCTAAACTGAGCAAGGTATCTCTCTATACAGGAAATGGGCTCCAGAATACTGTACTAGGGATAGATCCTGGTCCCAGTGCCAGTGGCCTCACAAACTGCCCAAGCTTCCCACTGTCACCTCCATTCAGGAAGTTTAGTTCAGGTCTGTTGTTTTTATGGGTTTCCCCATCCTGGTCTTGACCCCTTTGTTCATATTATCGCTCCTCCCTCTCTTCTACTGGACTCCAGGAGCTTGGCCCAGTGTTTAGCTGTGGATCTCTGTATCTGCTTCCATCAGTTACAGGATGACGGTTTCATGATGACAATTTTGATAGTACTCAATCTGATTACAGGGGAAGGACAGTTCAGGCACCCTCTCCACTGTGGCTTAGAGTTTTGTCTGGGATCATCCTTGTGTATTCCTGGGAATTTCCCTAGTGCCAGGTTTCTCAGCAATCCTATAATGGCTCCCTCTATCAAGATATCTCCATGTTCTCCCTCTCTGTTCTTCCACCAACTCAACCATCCCATTCCCTCATGTTCTTCTCCCCACTTTCTTTCCTTCCTCCCCTCTCCTCTCCTACCATCCCCTCCCTCCCATACTCCAAATTTACTCAGGAGATCTTGTCCCTTTCTCCTTCTTGGGGTTCCATGTATGTCCCTGTTAGGGTCCTCCTTGTTTCCTAGCTTCTCTGGGGTTATGGACTGTAGGCTGGTTATACTGTGCTCTATGCCTAATACTCACTTAAGAGTGAGTACATACCATATTTGTCTTTCTGAGTTTGGGGTTGCTTCATTCAGGATGGCTTCTTTTAGTTCTATCCATTTGTCTGTGAATTTCAAGTTGTCATTTTTTTCCCACTGAGTAGTACTTCATTGTGTAAATGTACCACATTTTCCTTCTCCGTTCTTCACTTGAGGGACATCTAGGTTGTTTCCAGGTTCTGGCTATTAGGAATAATGCTGCTAAGGACATAGTTGAGCAAATATCCTTTTGGTATGAGTATGCATCCCTTGGGTATGTACCCAAAAATGGTATTGCTGCTTCTTGAGGTAGACTGATTCCCAGTTTTCTAAGAAACTGCCATACTGATTTCCAAAATGTCTGCACAAGTTTGTACTCCCACCAGCAATGGCGGAATGTTCCCCTTACTCCATATTCTCTCCAGCATAAGCTGTCATCAGTGTTTTTGATCTTGGCTATTCTGACAGGTGGAAGATGGTATCTCAGAGTTGTTTTGATTTGCATTTCCCTGATGGCTAAGGATGTTGAGCGATTCCTTAAGTGTCTTTCAGCCATTTGTGTTTCTTCTGTTGAGAATTCTTTGTTTTGATCTGTACCCCATGTTTTAATTGGATTATTTGGTATTTTGGTGTCTAGTTTCTTGAGTTCTTTGTATATTTTTGAGAGGAACTTTCTGTCAGATGTGGGGTTGGTGAAGATCTTTTCCCATTCTGTAGGCTGCCATTTTGTTTTCTTGATCATGTCCTTTGCCTTACAGATACACTTCTCAGTTTCAGGAGGTCCCATTTATTAATCCTTGCTCTCAGCCTCTGTGCTACTGGTGTTATATTTAGGAAGTAGTCTCCTGTACCAATGTATTCTTGACTACTTCTTACCTTCTCTTCTATGAGGTTCAGTGTGGTTGGATTTATGTTGAGGTCTTTGATCTTGGGCTTGAGTTTTGTGCACAGCAATAGATATGGATCTGTTTGCATTTTCTACATGTTGACCTCCATTTATGCCAGCATTATTTGATGAAGATGCTTTCTGTTTCCCATTGTATAATTTTAGCTTCTTTTTGTCAAAATCAGGTGTTCATAGGTGTATGGATTAATATCAGGGTCCTTTATTTGATTCCATTGATCCACCTGTCTGTTTTTATGCCAATACCAAGGTGTTTTCATTACTATATCTCTATAATAGAGCTTGAAGTCAGGTATGGTGATGTCTCCAGTAGTTCCTTTATTGTACAGGATTATTTTGGCTATCCTGGAATTTTTTTCCATAGGAAGTTGAGTATTGTTCTTTTGAGATCTGTGAAGTATTGTGCTGAAATTTTGATGGATCTGTAGATTGAATTTTAGTAAGATTGCCATTTTTACTATGTTAATCCTACCTATCCAAGAGCATGGGAGATCTTTCCATTTTTTGGTATCTCTTCCATTTTGTTCTCCAAAGACTTAAAGTTCTTGTCATATAGGTCTTTCACTTGTTTGGCTAGAGTTATCCCCAGATATTTTATATTGTTTGTGGCTATTGTGAAGGGTGATGTTTCTGTGATTTCTTTCTCAGCCTGTTTATCATCTATATATAGGAGGAGTACTGATTTTTTCTTTTTTAGTTAATCTTGTATCCTGCCACATTACTGAAGGTGTTTATCATCTGTAGGAGTTCCCTGGTAGAGTTTTTCTGGTCACTTATGTATACTGTCATACCATCAGCAAATAGTGACAGTTTGACTTCTTTTCCAATTTGTATCCATTTGATCTCCTTTAGTTGTCTTATTGCTATATCTAGAACTTTGAGTACTATATTAAATAGATATGGAGAGTGTTGTCTTGTTTCTGATTTTAGTGGAACTGCTTTTAGTTTCTCTCCATTTAGTTTGATGTTGGCTGTTGTCTTGCTGTATATTGCCTTTATTATGTTTAGGTATGCTCTTTGTATCCCTGATCTTTCCAAGGCCCTTATCATGAAGGGGTGTTTGATTTTGTTGAAGGCTTTTTCAGCATCTAATGAGATGATCATACTTTTTTAATTTTAGTTTGTTTACAAAGTCACTTCACTTTTATCTCATTTCTTACTTAGAGCTACCTGTTGATAAAAACCATTGTTTAATGTTTGTCTCCCAGCCCTTCCTCCCTTCCCCCTTTGGTAGAGCTCAGCCCCAGCTCTACCCCTCCCTATTAACCCAGGCCCAGCCCAGCCCAGTCCCAGCTCAGCCCAGTCCTCCCTAGCTCAACCCCAGCCCTCCCCAGCCCAGTTCAGCCCAGCCCAGCCCCACCCCTCCCCAGTCCAGCCCCAGCCCTAGACTAGAGCATTTAAAATATGCTTTGAGGCACTGGTTGACTATGAAGAGAAAAGCTTGGTTTTACTCATCTACATTACTAGGAGTCATTATAGAAAGAATTAGAAGCCTGCTTTTGGGGGCAGTCTCATTTATGCTATTGAGGTGAATGTAAAAAAAATTAATATATATAAGTAAAGGACTTTTTAATATATGTATAAATTAAACCAAAGAACCAAGACTGGAAAAATCCTAAAAGAGTCTGGGGAAACTCAAGGATCTGTGTATGATTTGGTCTTATTTGTGGGACGTGATATGACTTGTGTGAATCTTTGGGCCATCAAGATGCCTCAGCAGGTAAAGGAGTTTACTTCTAACCCTCATGGCTTGTATTGGGCCTCCGAGACCCACAAGTTATAAAAAGAGAGAGGACTCTTGCTAGTTGTTCTGACTTCCACGTGTGTACATGTACCATAGTGCTTGCATATGTTTGAACACACATATATGAATAAATGTAATAATAATAAAAATGACTCAGGCATGAAGCAATAGACACTTTAGCCGAAACACTCAAGGTTTCGTGAGTATTTCTCAGTGTTTAATTTCTCTCAGATCCTTGATTGCCTGGTATCAGTCACTTGTTTTTTTTTTCCAAGTATCATCTTTAAAAATACATTTATTTTGATAATATTCTTTCCCCTCTCCCAATCCTCTCACTCACCATCTTCCTCCCCACCCAACACCATGCTATTCTCACTTTCTTTACAAACAAATAACAATCAATCAATCAAACAAACAAGAAAAACAACAAATAACAAAAATCAAAAGAGATAAAGTAAAAAAAGAAATAAGACAGGAAATAATAAACAAAAACTCTACACACAAAAGACATGGAGTTTCTGTTAGCCACCTGCTCCTGAGCATGGGCTGCCCTGGAGTGTGGTTGATGTACTCCACTGAAGAAAACAGACTTTCCCCTTCCCAGCAGGTATCAATTACAAATAGCCTTTTGTTTAGAGGTGAAACCTTATGTCTTGCTTGAACTTGTACAGGTCTTATGCATGCTGTCACAGCCTCTGTAAGTTCATATGTGCACCAGTCCTGTTGTGCCTGGAAGACACTATTTCCCTGTAGTCACCCACCACCTCTGGCTTTTATAATCTTTCTGCCTGTTCTACCTCCATCTCTGAGCCTTGAGGGGAGGGATTAGATAAAGTCATCCCATTTAAGTCTGAGTGCTCCCAAGTCTCTCACTCTCTGCATACTGTCCAGTTGTGTATTTCTTTGTTGATTACCATCTACTGAAAGAAGAAAGTTCTTTGATCTATGTGTATAGCAATATGTCATTAGGAGTCGTTTTATTGTTATGTTTCTTTAGCAGAATATTAGTAGTAGGTTTTCCCGACCCTATGACCTATCTACTCTCAGGTTCTTAATGCTAGAACCCAGGGGAAAATTGCTTTCAGGTACCAACATAGCCTTGGTTAGCTACAGTGGCTTCCATAATTCCCCCATTTCCCCCACGGAGTTTATGTTCATACCCCCCTCACTCCAAATGTATTTTTCTTAAGACAAATTTGCTTTCCTACTTCCTCCATTAGTGCCTGGACTTTGTAAGGGTAGGGCTGTGCCTTCTCACCTCAGTATCTACAGTGTCTAACAGCTAAACACTCTGAAAACTTTGGGGTGACTAATCAATGAATTTTCAAAGGCCAGCCCTGATTTTTTTTGAAACAGTCTCATATAGCCCAGGCTAGACTCTAACATCATACCCCCAAATGACTTTGACCTTCTGACTCTCCTCTCCAATGCTGGGGTTACAGGCATGCACCACTACACTTGGTTCATGTATTGCCAGGGATTCAAACCAGAGCTTTGTGCATGCTAGGCAAGCATTTGACACATTGAGCTGCACCCACAGCCCAAAAGATAAAACATGACAAACCATGATTGCATAGTTTCTCAGGGAGGGAGAAAGGCTGATATTGCTCCTAATGCATCATTTCCCAGGGTGCTGGCTGAGGGAGATGATTCTTCTTACATTTTCTCTCCCTGAGCTTTTGACTGCAGTGGACTTAACCAACAGCTAGGGATAGAACTGGCTGCCTACCAGATGTGTGTCAGTGACAGCTGTCACACTTTAGACACAGCAAGTCCACACACAGTCTTTTGGCATGGCTCTGGAATTCTTAGTTCCGTCTGTCATTGAGAGCTTAGGCAGCATGTACTTTGCAGTCTCTGCTGTCACAGGGGTAGGGATTACCCCAATACCAGTCATGTCAGGATGACATGGCTCATTTGATTGATGGTTGACGATCTTCTCTGGAAAGGGCTGGCAAACGGTCTCAGAGTATGAGGGAAATCTCGAGCATGTGGTTCATGGTGTCACTTGTGAATTCCCTAGGGTCACTTCATGAAATGCCTGTGGGTGGAACTTGGACTTGGGCTTTGATAATGCTAAGATTTGGAGTTTTTATATTTGAGAAAGTGCTAAAGCATGTACTCTGAAAGGAGAGGGAGAATGTGTGCTCTCCTTTTATTCATATAGTCAGGTGACATCAGAGCCTGGAAACCTAGACCCTGAGTAGAGCTATTGGGTTGATGTCATGGTGGTTCATTGTCTACCTAACATGCAGTTAAACTTGACCCTGGATGCATAAGAAAACACACTCCTTTTGAATACATCCTATTATTTCTCTCCTTTGAACCACATTTGCCAATCACTGAATGTTTTGAGTGATGGTACTAAACTATTTCTCATGTCCATTTGTGTCTCCTTTAAGGGCTAGACTACACTGATAAAGTTATAATAAGATCTTAATGAGACGTATATTCTAAATAATTATGTACAGATTTACAAGTTGTACACCTATTTTTTTTAAATGCTTGTGAGAAGAATTGGTTTTGGGTTTTAGATTTTTTCAAATTTTGTAATATTTCCATTTATTTAATGGATTATCTTGGGGTTGAACCCAAATCTAACTAAGAAATTTGTTTATGTTTCATATACATATTAGAAACATAGTTTGAAAATAATTTTATACATTTCCTCTCCCTCGTTCTGCCTCTCTTTTCCTTTGTGCGTGCGCGTAAGCGTGCGTGCGTGCGTGCGTGCGTGCGTGCGTGTGTGCGTGTGTGTGTGTGTGTGTGTGTGTGTGTGTGTGTGTGTGTGTTGCTAAAATGTTGAACCCAGAGTTTTGCACATGTTAGGCAAATGCTATACTACTGAGTTATGTTTTCAGCCCATGTGTTTTGAGACAAGGTATTTGTATGTAGCTCAAACTGGCTTTGAGTTTGCTATGTGGCCCAGGCTTGCCTTAAATTCGTGGTTCTTCTGCCTCTACCTGTAGAGTGCTGGGATTACATGTGCCTGTTGCCATATTCATATTAATTCCTTGTATTTTGATTATTGTTTGTCATATGAGATATGAAATCAAATCATCCAATTTTTCCTTTTTTATATGTAAATGTAGTAGATATAGTTTTTTATAATGTGGAACACATGGGATAATAAAGTACATGAATAACTTTCAAAGGAAGTCATAAGATCGTCACAGAATGCCTCCAGGTTGGATTCTCCCGCATGTACTTAAGCCATAGTACAAAAGCACAAGAGGAGTTTGTATATTCCGATCTCTGTTGTCATTTCTATCTTTATTTCTGTCTCTAATCTAAATCTGTATCTATGTTTGTATATATGTATTTGTATAGTTGTGTATATATGCATATATTTTGTGTATTTTTTTATAAATTGAAAATTAACCCTCTGAAAACTTTCTCTTCTAACAGACAGACACCAAACCGGTACAAATGATGAATCTAGAGGCCACGTTCTGTTTGGGCAACATCGATGATATCAACTCTAAGATCATAGAACTCCCCTTCCAGAATAAGCACCTCAGTATGCTGATTGTGCTACCCAAGGACGTGGAGGACGACTCCACTGGCCTAGAAAAGGTCAGGAGGCAGCTGGGCACTTAGACAAGAGAACCCCACATAGTGAAGAAGTGAGAGAATGGAGTCCCATGGGGCTCAGAGGAGTTAGCCATAGCTCTGTCTCACACCCCGCAGCCCAGTTATCTTCCAGGGCTTTCAGGTCCATGCTGTACCTTTACTTCTTTAAAGTGAAAACAACCAGCATTGGTTTGTCATTTACAATGGGTCAAGGTTGCCACTAAATTCTTCAAATAGTTTTCTCATTTAATTTGTATAACAAATTAGAATTAGAAACTGTTATTATACTCTCGCTTACCAATGAGGAAGGGAGTCACAGAGGTGAGTAGCCAGTTGATGGTCACATGATCAATCAATGACATGAAGACCAAGAGTCTGAGCTCAAGGGGAAAAAGAATTCTTGGCCTATACTCCATGCTTAAGTGGTGATTGGACAGAACAATAAGCCCATAGCTGGGAAACAAGTTAACTACAGTGACTTTTTTGTCCTAGTAATTTGTACCTAGTGAAAGTGAGAATATTAATTGAAAAATAATTATAGACCAATAAAAGAATAAATTGTTCCTTCCCTATTAACAAATGCATTTTTCACCAGCTTGTGACCTTGCCATGTCCTTGACTTTTACTTGTACCAGGAGAGTTAACACTGGTGCAGTATTGTTCCATGTTAGTAACAGGGTACTGTCATTCTTAGTGGCACTTATGGGAAGGTCAAGGAGCAATTTAACTTCATTTGCTCCATGAAGAATTTTATGACCAAGTTATTTTATGCTTCATTGCATATCTATCTTTTAAACCAGTTGAAATGGTTGCACTCATCACCTGAGATCTTAAAGAGCAGATTAGAGCTAGTCTGAGTTCCCATCATAAAAAAAAAAAGGCATAGCTTTTAATTAACTTGGCTGGTATGCCTAGGTCATGGATAATATGAGCTCTTTGTAAAGAAATTATAATAACAGTCAGAAGATTTATACAAAACTTTCTAATTTTATATTCATTTTACTGTGGCATATGTAACATCATAATCTATGTGTGTTTATGAAAAAATCTACTCTATAATTTAAGCAAATAAAAGCCAAGCTCTCATAAACATTGCTGAGAAGAGAACCTTCCTGGGTGGCTGGTGGGTCCTATCTGAGGAACTTGCTGGGCTATTTCCAAACCAAGGTTGATTTAAATTCTTTAAAACTGAACTTATAGTAACACTTTCTGTTTTTAATCAAGCTAGATTTTTCTTTCTTCTTCCTTTCTTTCTCTCTTTCTCCCTCTCTTTCATAATAAAAAGTAAATAAAATTAAGTTCTTTTCCATTTTGTCCTTCAGATTGAAAAACAACTCAACCCAGACACACTGTTGCAGTGGACCAACCCCAGCACCATGGCCAATGCCAAAGTCAAACTCTCCCTCCCAAAGTTTAAGGTGGAAAAGATGGTTGATCCCAAGGCTAGTCTGGAAAGCCTGGGACTGAAAAGTCTCTTCAATGAAAATACATCTGATTTCTCTGGAATGTCAGAGACCAAGGGAGTGGCCCTATCAAATGTGATTCACAGGGTATGCCTAGAAATAACCGAAGATGGTGGCGAGTCCATTGAGGTGCCAGGATCCCGAATCTTACAGCACAAGGATGAGTTCAATGCTGACCACCCATTTATCTATATCATTAGACACAACAAAACACGAAACATCATTTTCTTCGGCAAATTCTGTTCTCCTTAAGTGACAGGGCTCTGCCAAGTCTCAGATAGCTTGTCTGTAGTTGCAGATCTCTGTAAACTTTGTACTCAGACAAACATTTTCTATACAATAAATTGTTAATTTTGCTGAATCACGAGGCATCCAGTACTTGTCATGTGCAGCCTTCACACTAACAGATACTTCTTTTCCAGTTCCTCCTTATTTTCCTTTGTCAAAGAAAAATGGCACATGTTTGTAATGAAAGGGAATCAATCACCTTTGCAGAAAATGTGTGTTCTTCATTTGTCAAAGCATCTAGAGCTAGTAACAAAAATGCAGCATTCTACAAGAGAATTCCTGTAAGTATGATGTAGAGGCCATTATCCTCCGAACTTCACCTTTCTTCACTGAGATAAAGAATAACTTCTGCTCACATATTGTAGACATTTTCACGCTTTTAAAGCCTTAGGGAACTTTAGAGTATGGGGCCTACAAGAGTATCATTTTCCAGTGAAATTTTATAATGCTGTGGGTCTAGAAGTTTTCATGTTAAAACCCAAGAAACAGTTTTTTCAAGATCTTAATGGGAAATTTTAGAAAGATGACACATTTTAAATACTATAGATTATGGAACTCTACAAATAGGGTCTGGAATATCGCCCTGTAACTGCCCCCCTTTTTCTTTTTTGGGTTTTCTAGACAGGGGTTCTCTGTAGTTTTGGAGCCTGTCCTGGAACTTACTCTGTAGACAAAGCAGGCCTCAAACTCAAAAAGATCCACCATACTTTGCCTTCCGAATGCTGGGTTAAAGGCATGCACTACCACTTCCCAGCTCACCCTGTACACCAATACTTTAATATTTATGCCAAAATATAGACTACTCACACAATATAGCTACATATAGTTTACAAGTGATCACATTTTTCCAAAAAAAATGAGTAATTTGTCAGCTCATGGAAACACTTTGCAGAACATTCTAGATCTTGGGGTGTTGAATAAAGAATTCTGGGCCCATTTTAGCTAAAGACTAAGACCCAAGGGGGAAGCTCATTGACTTTTCTTTTTCCTAGCTGCCCTACCTGGTCATTTGGGTGGTGTGGTTGCTGGCAGGGCTTCTAGCCAGATCACAAGGTTCTTGACATCTTCAACCCCAGCAACTTAAAATCTACAGGGATTCTCTTGATAAGAGAGTTTTGTGGCTGTTGCAGGAAATTTCCTCTTTGTTTAATGAGGCAGTGGGAAAATGGAAGGGATCCCAAACCTTCAGAAAATATAAGTAAAACCAAGGACCCATGATGCTTTGGCAATTTTTTTTCAAATCTAACTATTTGATAGCAGTTTGTAATCTACACAAAAAAATTATAAAATGGTTCGGGTAAGTTAGTTGTGTTGCTACTTAACCCAGTGTTTTAACTCAACCCCAGAAGGAAGTATTTGCTGTGGTCTTTCTTATATGTCCCCCCTTTTAATTCGTTGCCATTTATTGTAAATAAGGTTCTTTTTCTTCTGAAGGCTAAATGGTGACTGCTTTTCTGTGATATTGACAATAAAATATTATTGAATTGTGTGCCTTGTTCTTTCTCAATTGGCTTAGAGTTACTATCTTGAAATAGTATCAAGGCACCCACTTATTGAAGCATTTATATATGTAAATACCTTCTGGGAGGTGGTTAATGTGGACTAAAATGAATACAATTAAGTTATGCTATTCTTCTTTCTCCCTGGCCATTGGCTGTTGAGATCTGTTTCTTTCAACAAAGACAATACCAGGAAGGCATCAGAATCATTCAAGCACTTACAAGTTATTTGAAATCACAACCTCCCAGAAGGATGTGCATCTCTTCTCCAGACCCCTTCTCTTTAGGTCCCTCCTCAAAACGTAACTTTGTCCTTATGCTTATGACGTTTTTGTAGTCACTGCATTTTTCTCAGTTGTTATATTAATCTCTTTTTAATTACTTATAATGTACTTGAACTTAATAGTCAACACCTTCACAGTGTGTGCAAAATGAACATGTCTTGCACCAAATACCCAAACATTTCCCTTGTAAAAGGGAAATGACTCCTTGTACAGGACTGCCACTGTTGTTCATTTCCCCCTTCCAACCTACAAATAAAATATGGATGATTCTGGGAAAGGTGAGTGTGAAGAGGAGGGAGAGGGTTGTGCCTCCTGGCCAGTGGCTCAGGGAGCTTCAGGTATCTCCAGGAATTTGGAAATCATCGACAGTTTTTCCCTGGGATAGTCTACATTGGTCCTTTCCAACCATGGGGAACTTCTGCCCTCTAGAGGAATTATTTGTTGTTGTTGTTCTCATTACTGGGAGATCTCTTGGTCTAGTTAATTCCTGCAGTGGACCTATCCTCCTTAAGGATGTTATCCAGCTCATCATGCCCATGTCGCAGATGACATACCTCTAGGGCACTTGCTACAGGACAGATGCAGTGAGAACATCCTGAGGCAGAGAAAAAACAAAGGGTTGGATCTATAGTAGACGATGAAGGATGTCTGCTTGCTGTCAGTTACAATGAGACCTACAATTTATTTGATTGGTTATTTTGGTGGATCCTACTTGGAGGAGGACATGTCTGGTGGGAGTGTGGGGCCCAGTCAGATAAAATGGTATTGAGAGCCCCATGAGAGTCCCCTGCCGATGAACTAACATTAGGCTCCTCTCGCTCCCAATAGCAGAACACAATGGCTCCAGTCAAGCAAGGTCTTTCTACCCTTTCTCTTCTCCGTGCTGTGTAGTTGCATGTGGAGTAGTGAGGAAGGGCATGTGTGGTGGTGAAGAGTAGGAACAAAGCCTGCTCCTATTGCCTTCCCTCTTAGCAAGTCTCAGTCAGACCCAGCTGTGAAGGATGGTGACATTTTCTATCAGAAGGGACTCAGTCCTGATTTAAGTTTCTGAGCTTGTTCATTTCTGGAAATGTACATAAGACATATGACAGTGGCAGGGAGAACTTTAGCCCAAGATGGGGAGAGTTTCATCTAAGGAATGGGGAAGAAAATGGATAGGAATTGGGGTTGAAGAGGGAGTTGGCGCTTCTAAAGAACTAGGAGAGCTAGGATGTGTTTGCTAATATTCTGCCTGGCTCAGCTCAACAATAAGCCACTCACAGATAGTTTTTTTTATTGTTTTAAAACTTTTTTATTGATTCTTTGTGAATTTCATATCATGCACCCCAACCCCACTCATCTCTTCATCCCTCCATATCTGCCTCTGCCCTTGCAACTTCCCCCACAAAAGAAAACAAAAATAAAAATGATTAAAACATAAAAATGAAAATTAACAACAACAAAATATTCTCCATAGAATCTTCGGTAAGTCATGGTGTGTCACTTGGTCTGCCTTTTTGCTCAGGCAGATTTACTTGCCAGTGTTCATTGCAATGAGTCATTGGTCTGGTTCGAGGCCTCTGGCTTCTGTTACACTATCCACACTAAGCTCCCACAGGACTCCTCTTGGATATCCTGTCTTAGCCCTGTGTCATGGAGATCCTGTAGCTTTGGGTCTGCTGGACTGGCCTTTCACATGGTCCAGCAGATCATAGATGGGTAAAGATTTTTCGTGGGCCAACTCAAAGCCTTGGATCTGTGTCTGGGTGCTAGCTGAGTTGGTCAGCCTGCCAGCTCTCCTACACCCGTGCCACCAGGGCCAGCTTTCCTGCTTTGCCCAGGTCTTCTGCCTGTGGTAGCTTGTTAGGGGCGGGGCCAGCTCTCCTATGGGCCAGCTCTTCCACACCACCAAGGCCAGGTCTCCAACTCTGCCATGGTGAGGGAACAGGACCCGCTCTCCTTACTGGTGTAGTTGGCAAGGGGTGGGGCCAGCTCTCCTGCTCTCATGCTCTTGGGGCGGGCTCTCCCAAGCCCATACCATCAGGCCCAACTCTACCGTGTTGCCCAGGCGAGGTGCAGAGCATGCTCTCCTGAGTGCTCCAGTCATCGAGGAATAGGACTTTGCCTGGGCAACACACTAAAACTGGCACTGGTGGTGTGGGTATGGGTGAGCTGGCCACCCACTTAAGCCTGCAAGGGGGACCGCCATCATACACAAACTGAGAGGTAAGAGTACACAGGAGCCATTTAACCCTGCAAGGAGGATCCCGTGTCCTCATCATACACACACAAAGAGGTCAGTCTTCGTCACGAGTTACGACTCTTTTCTTTTGAATTTTTAGTTTCATTATATTAATATTAAGCATCCAAATGAGATTTTGGAAGCAGGGATTATCTTTTCTTCTCATTTCACTGACTGTGCACATGCATGATTCCACTACAATACTTCCAAACTCTTCTATTCTCAGTGAGTTTCCCCTCCAGCTAATGCTTAAAATCCACCGCACTTTATAGAAAAAGTGCAATTTTAACAACTTCCCATTTTTTCTCTTTTCTTGCTAACAACTGTCCCTTCTCTTGACTATGGAAACCACATGTGGCAGAACCTACCCTTCCCCTCACTTCCTTTGATCTCTCATACTTGTGGCTTTGAAGCTGTGCCAGTGAGAGAGCCAAAGGCTAGCTCATTGGCTAGGATTGTGTGTGAGAACTGGCTGTGACTTTAACAGGTAGGGCATCCCACAGTCAAAACCCCCAGTGACATTAAGGAATGAATATAACATTAAGGAATCTTCCACCACGATTCCACAGAAGTGGATGTATTCACAAACATTTGCTTTATGTAAGACCCTAAGAAACTGGTGACACATGACAGATCTCATGGAGGAAGCTGAGGCTCTAATACCTTGCAGCAATGCAACTACTTCGTGACTGCACATTCTTTCACAAACACCACCAACCTCTGTATGCTGTTCTTTCAAAATATGTTTTTCAAAGTAGAATACATTTGCAGAAAAGGACACCTATACAACTGGTTTCCACACGGCATGCACCCTTCAGGAGTATAACCAACAATTCTGGGTTTGCCTCTCCTGCTCCATGCCACACACCCACCCCTATCCAACGTGAGCTGTTATCAACCAACAACACAGAGACAGGGTCTGTCCTGTTTTTGTGCTTTGCACACATGGAGTTGTGGTTGTGCTCTCTTTCTAGTTGACTGTACAAACAGCTTCCACATTGCTGCATGCAGTTCTGGGTCTTCTTTCTCATTGCTGTACTGTTCCTCAAAATTGTGACTAAGTTAAGTTGTGTATAAATCCTGCAATTTATTTCTAGTCTATTATCAATGGGTACCTGGGGCTTTCCAGTATTTATGTAACTGGCATTATTATAAATATTTTGGTACTTTTGGGGAAATAATGTATGCAGTGTCGATGTCTATTTGTAGATTTAACATATAAAGCACATGAATAATACTTGTGACACATGAGAACCAGCTTACAGACAGCACAAAGATTTAGTTTTGGTAAGTGGACAGTTTTCCAGTGTTTTGTGTTTTTGTTTTTTTTTTTAACCAGCACTTACCTATCTTTTGTTATTGTTATTAGATTATTATTTTATAGACATTGCTTTTTTCCAACCATGACATCTACCATCACTGTTTATTCCTGGAGTAATTTTTAAGAAGTAGGCTCTTCAACAATTAATAAATGGCACCTCCTGAAACTAAGAAGCTTCTGTAAAGCAAAGAACACAGTCAACAAAACACAAAAGCTTCCTACAGAATGGGAAAAGATCTTCATCAACCCCACATCTGACAGAGGGCTGATCTCCAAAATATACAAGAACTCAATAAACCAGACATCAAACTACCAAATAATTTAATTAAAAATGGGGTACAGATCTAAACAGAGAATTCTCATCAGAACAATCTTAAATGGCTGAAAGACACTTAAGGAAATGCTCAACATCCTTAGTCATCAGGGAAATGCAAGTCAAAATCACTCTGAGATTCCATCTTACACTGATCAGAATGGCTAAGATAAAAAACACCAATGACAGCTTATGCTAGAGAGGATGTGGAGAAATTCATTGCTGGTGGGAATGCAAACTTGTACAGCCACTGTGGAAATCAGTATAGTGATTACTCAGAAAATTGGGTATCAACCTACTTCAAGACCTTGCAATACCGCTTTTGGGCATATACCCAAAGTAGGCACATTCACACCACAAGCACATTTGCTCAACTATATTCATAGCAACCTTATTCATAATATTCAGATCTTGGAAACAACCTAAATGAGCCTCAACTGAAGAATGGACAATGAAAATGTGGTATATTTACATAACAGCGGCAAGAAACAATGACATCATAAAATTTGCAGGCAAATGGACAGAACTAGAAAAAAAAATCATTCTAAGTGAGATAACCCCAAAACCAGAAAGACAAATATAGTATGTACTCACTAGTAAGTGGATAACAGACATAAAGCAAAAGATATCCAGCCTACAATCCACAACCCCAGAGAAGCTAGAACCCTCTTCCAGAAACAGATGGAAGCAGATGCAGAAATTCACAACCATTGAGCCAATCCCCTGGAGTACAATTGAAGTGAGGAAGGAGTGACAATATGAACAAAGGAGTCAAGACCATGATTCGGAAACCCACAGAGCTAGTGAGA